GTCTGCCACGCCTCCTTCTCCCTGTTACATACATTTCAACAAAACCATTATACCCTGATTTCCCATTGAAAATGGGTTCAGGGTATAAAAAAAAGGGAGGAAAAGCTTTTTTTGAGCCCTGCCTTTGGCCAATTTCCTACACTGACAGCTGCCAGCAATGCGAACACTTAGTTAATTATAAATTATGAGCACTGAGAACGGGAGGCGGGTCGTTGCGTGGGCGGCACATAAAAGTGTGCCGCTACCCGGGAATTATTTAAGGCCCATTATATTAGCCAAAACTAGACACATATGTTTGCTTTGCGACTGCTGCTGCTGTTGCTGCTGCTGCAGGTGAGCGCATATTTTATCAGCAATTAACAGTTGAATCCGCTTGGCTTAAGTGCCTGCAGCGTTTTCCTTCCTTACATTTCTGTGTTTGCCGGCAATGCCCTTTGGGTTTTCGGAGCTTTGAGCAGTTCTTCTTTTGTGTTCGACTGGGTCCAAAACAAACACTTTGTACGGTTTATGGCCGCGTGTTTAATGTCAAAGCGTGTCATGAGGGCGTACGTTTGTTGGCCTCAGCTTTTACGGCGTGGCGCTTCTGGTTACAGGCCGCGACAGACACTGAGCGAAAAAGTTTAGACTGAACTGGGGACGGTCAAGGAGAAAAAAAAATTTGTCTGTGGTAAAAATACTTTTTGATAGGCATAAAAATCGGCTATTAAAGAATTTATTTTAAAATAAAAAATTTTTTACATGAAGATCTAAATTTGCTAGGAAAGTTTTGTATACATCGAGTAATAATAATAAAACGGTGATATATTCAATGAATAAATATTATTTATTATAAATATTTTGCTTTAGAAAGAATTTAAGTGAAATTGTGGCCCACTTAAGCCAAGGTTTAACTTTAGACACACACTTTTCTCCAAGTGTACGACAGTTGTTGTGTGTTCAGATGCTGTTGTGGCGCTTAAATTTACAATGGCCGACTATATATTTTTTTATGCGTGTAAATATTCAAAAATAACGAAGAAGAGGAGCGAAAATATAAAGCAAAGTCGTTACTTTAATCAATATTTTAATCAATAAAAAAGTCCATCAATGCAGAAACACTTCCGGTGGCATCTCGCAGTCCACATCTCCTGCGCATCATCATTATAAATAAACATTTGAAATGGCGCAAAAATAAAAAATGATTAATAATCAAATTGAATTGCGGCTGAGCTTCCGTTTTCGGTGGTTTATCCATTGCCGACAGCTTCGAAGTGAAAGATCGTGACAAATGATTTAAATGGGTGAAAGCTAAATTTTCATTTTGCACCTGTCTAGATAATAAAATAAAAGCCATTTACATTGATTTCAATTCGAAGTAGTTACATTTTAATTAATGTTTTGATTGCTTATTACAAATGTTGTTTACATTTACAATGCAAATAGAGGTGTGAACGAGAGAGCGAGAGAGTAGCTTCAATTATTTGATTTTTATTTTTATGTATTTTTGCTTATTTTGACACAGAGTTTATTTTTTTGCCATCCGAATTTCAATTCGAATTAATAATCTGTTTATAAATCGATTGAAATCAGTTCGTGCAGCAATTAACATCAAATTAGGTGAAGAATTTTATTTCTGCTTAAAGCTGAAAAGAACAAAATATTTCTTTTGTTTTATAAATAACGATTTTTTTATTTTTAATTTTTTTTAGACTGAATTAGTAGCCAATATAAATTTCTATTCACTTGGCATATATTCAAATATTTACTTTGTGTCTTATTTGTTTTTTGGCTCTCATAAAAATAATGTATATCTGCTGAGTATTTTCATTCAGCTGTCATTAGTCTATGTGACTGAACTGTGAAAGAAGTATTTTGTTCGATTTACTAACTTACTAAAAAACTTATAGATTTAAAATACATATGTATATACAGAGTGGGGCTTGAAAGTTTAAAAAATCATATATTTTTCATCCATTTGTCTATTTTGCCACTTTCATTGTAATACCCATCCGATATTACTATCGTAGCATATCAAAAATATCTTTGGATATCTTGTTCAGCGTCGACTGCGATGCCGTCTTCATCTCCCCCTGGAAATCTTCAGTCACAGGCGCTTAGGACTGGGAATACGCTGACCGCGGCAGCAGCAGGGCGCCTGTGGGAGTATTCCCAAGATTTTTTATTTTTTCCCAACAATTTGCTGCAGGTTCTCTGCTTCATTTTCTGGCATGGTACGAAAAGCCAGAGAACGTCCAAGCAAAGATGCGGTCAACATGAATACCAACAGAATGTCACAAATAGATATTGAATTGAAATCAGAAGATATATTAGCTGTCGAAATTTAAAATTCTTCTATTGAACCAAACTCTCAACATATTTAATCAATATATGGAAGGGCTAAAGAGAGCGGAACTAGCTGGTGATAGAAGAATTATATATAGTTACTTTTATCCTTACGCATCCATGTAGAACGCTTATATTTATTCTCAATAATTGTTCATGGAATTGATTTATTTGTATGTACATACAATATACTTATATTATTATCGCCACACTTTGTCTTTGATATAGATATATGATGAAATATATATATATATGACAATTAAGTCCTTAATACAAAAACTGAATTAGTTTTAGTGCTTAAAACTAAAGTCTAAATTAACAAAGATATGAATCCTGCCCTATTTATAGTCAGTGCGCTTAGCAGATTCTGAAAGATGTAATTGCTTAACAGATGCTGCCTATGCGGCTCATATATATACATATATACTCTTTTATTCCTATCTTATGTTACACACGTTCGCAATTCTTAAAACTGTCACCAAATCCATGTTTTAGGATATTATTTATCATTTCTGTGTTCGTGCATGTCTCAAGGTTAAATTACGCTTGAGCATTATTTATGAAGCTTGAATTACATCCTAGAAAAACATGCTCATGTAAGAGGTGTATGTAGTATTTTTTTCGACTTGGCGTAGAGTAACGGTAACTAGGATAACTTGGCGCCTTTTTCTCTCTAGCCTTTGCTTCATCTATATTTTAAGAAAATTTGAAAAGATTGAAGCTCATCGTCTAGCCGAAACGGTCATGTGCAGACGTGTTTCATTAGAATTGCACTCAAAATCTGTCCAGACTTTTAAATTGACAATGCTGTGAGTATTTTCTCTGAGTATTTTACCTTGCTTGATTTTAGTTATTTTGTTATTTTTGATATTTTAGTATTCTATTTTTTCAAAGCACTCAACAGCAACACCTGAGCTAGAAGAGAGACAGCAACAAATTGAATTTGTTTACTCACAGACTCAACACACAAATTCACACAAAGAACTTTAGCATACAGTTGGCAAGCTGTGATAATAAAGCATCTTGAATGTTTATAAAATTCAATCTTGGTGCCAGATAGAAAGAGAGAGAGAGAGAGAGATAGAGAGCAAAGCTGCTCAAGCATCTACCTGAGAGTCAGGGCCTTTGTGTTTAGTTTTTGCTTTGCATATTTTGTACAGCTTTAAGAAGAGAAAAAACTAATCCCGACAACAATCTGGCAAAATGCAACCAGCGTGCTTTTGATATGTTCAGCTGCAGCAGATATAAGAAAGAAACCCGAACTCCGAAATGAGACAAGTTTCGAGCAGCCATATTAAAAATTCCTTCGACAAAGTTTACTCTTTACTTTGCTCCTTATTGCGGCTTTGTTTGGCCAAAAGTTTTGTCTCTGCACTCACTGATTGCCATCTCTCTATCTCTATCTCTGTCTCTGTCGATTACACTTTGTATATTCAACATTTTTCGTGGTCATACTTGGGGCAATATACCGAAATGAATGTGATTAGATGCAAAAATGATGTGTCAAAGGGAAGGAGAAAAACCCACATCGACAGGTAAATTCTAGGGCCAACATGGCGTATGTGGAATATCCCATTATGTGTGTCACTTGTGTTTGCCTCGAGCTAAACATATTCATTCAATGTATGCTGAGCTAATACAAGCGTCCCTTTGTGTTTATATTGTATCTGTCGATTGTCGAACCAAAGTTTCTAAGCCAACAGAGACCAACATAATTTAATCTAATTGTTTGTGTGACTTATGGCTATGTCTCTATGATTGCCGAAGTTTGACTACGCTTGAATATAAATTGAAATTGTGGACTTTCTTTGTCTGCTAAGCCAGACAAATGTCTTGAAAAACTGCTTCGAAATGGCTGGCATTAGTTGTGAAAAAAGCCCTGCAGCTGTCTAGTTTGATAAATATATCTTGAGATATGAGGAAATATTTTCCGAATTGATGTGAGACAGCTGCTGTCTCTGAATTTGCTTACGCATGTGGCCTGCTCAGAGCTCCATTTCGGCCTTCACTTAAAAGCCGCTTTGCCTATAAAACAGACATTTCGGCATTTTTGCCAATGCATCATAAATATTTACATAGCCCTAGCTGAAGTGCACTGAGGCATGCAGCACGATGATGGCCTGCGGCTCGGCTGCCTCCTGCTGATCTGTACACTTGACTGGCTAAACTGGATTTGGGATGACTTCACTATATAATAAAATGTAATCATAAATTAATTCAAATGAAATTTGTAATTTTATGCGCATTGTGTTTTATGCCTGGCAGGACCTTTTGTCAGACTGCTCAGTAGTTGGGCATATTTGCTTTTTATTTTTATTTACTTTGTTGTTGTTGCTTAGTTTCCATTGAGCTTCAACCAAGCTGAACTCATGGGTAAACCACACGCACACACACACTCGCTCAGTGCCTTTACAGATTTTATTGGGTGCTTGCCTATTGAACGGGCTCAACGACCCTAAAGGCTGTCCAAGCGTTCACAAACACAAACAAATCCCGATACTTTGTTTCAGCCGCTGTAACCTTTGCGTATTACCCAGGGCTTTGCCATAACGAAGCATTTAAGTGACGGCTGCCAATCCGATGTGCTGCAAATGTCCTTTAGCTTTCTGTTCAAGCACCTTGCGACGTTGCCAGGCTTTATCACCAGGGAGCACAGAACAATGGCCAGTTGACACATTTGTGTAACTTGCGGCACTTGCAGACGACCCCCATTAGCTCAGCTTCAAGGCGAATGTCGAACAAATCTCAAAACACTCAAAATGGTCAAACAGTTTTCTATTTTCTTTTCGATTCTTTTTTCATCTTTTATTTTTAAATCAACACAAACTACATTAATATTTATTAGCAGGTTTCAGTTTCATCTACGTGGAAGACTGTATAATGTATGCTATATAAAATATGTAGTCGAGATGGTCTTTGATTGGGGCATGCTCTGTGTGTGTGAATGTCTGATGTATATATGCATCGATTTTAGACTTACTTTGACGTTTGCTATAAGACGCTCAGACTTTGATTTCATATGCAATTTATTCGAATCACTTAAATAATAAATAAACTTTAGCTCCTTTAGCTGACTTTGTGAAAGCCTATTAGTATAATTTAGGCAATAATTTTTTATTGATTTTTGTTATGCTTATTCACTGCTGTTATGTCCTCGCTGACAAATGGGATACGGCCTATATATGTGATTATTAGCTGCTTGCCAAATCGGGGCTGCATTTTCTAAAGCAGATCTTGAAACTCCAAGTAAAATTATTTTAGCCTTCTCTCTATGGTTGAGAACGTTTTGACCAGGAATGAGTATTCTGAAGTCGATGACGCCCCATTTCAAAGCTCTAATGTGTTTTGATAAAGTTCAGGCAGTTAAATGCATGAATGAATATTTGTATGTGTATAAAGTATTCAACTTCTTGTCACTCAAATGCCACAGAGCGAAACAGAAGCCTCTCAGCTCTGCAACGATTATGATAAATGATTTTTACACACATATAATTATGTGGATGTTGGTGTCACCGCAAAGGCCTTAAAGGGGCCCTGAGCACATCCGTCTGCCACTCGTGTGATTTCGCGTAATGTTGAATAATGAGCTCTGAAGCGTTGAACCGTATATTCTACGGCCCGTTGCAGTGTCAATGCCCAGCACTCCGTTTGGGCCGTTAAGCTGTCTGACCTTTTCACATGATGTGTGTGTGTTCTCTTCTTCTTCAACTTCCTTTTTTTGTTTTTATACCCTGAACCCATTTTCAATGGGAAATCAGGGTATAATGGTTTTGTTGAAATGTATGTAACAGGGAGAAGGAGRCRTGRCAGACCCCACAAAGTATATATATTCTTGATCAGGGTGACGAGCTGAATTGATTTGGCCCTGTCCGTCTGTCTGTCCGTCTGTCCGTCTGTCCGTCCGTCCGTCTGTCCGTCTGTCCGTATGTATGAACGCGTCGATTTCAGAAGATATAAGAGCTAGAGACTTCAAATTTTTTTTAAAATGTCCGTAATTACAGCGCGCATATCAAGTTTATCATTAAAAATCGATAACTCATCCCGATCTTTTTTTATCGATAAAAAACCTTATCGAAAACCAGTTATAAAATTATATCTTCTACACCTTTATTGCTAGAGTCTCCAAATTTTTAATGTATGCTTATATGCAATTTATACAATTTCGGTTTTTGTTAAAATTTACCCCCCACCCTTAAATTCACCCCCTCACCCTCACTTTTGTAAAAAGCGTATTTCAAATACTAGAGACTTGTGCTTTGGCAATTACATGCATATTCATGTTATAATCATAATCTGAAAGTTTCATGAAGATCGTACGTCCATAAAAAAAGTTATTAAACAATTAAGTTCTCATAGTAAGCGCACACTGCAGCCCATGCGTGTTTATGCGTGGGTGCTTGTGTGTGTATGTGTTTGTGTATGTGTGTGTATGTGTGTGTGTGTATGCGTTTGTGTGAGTATGCGTGTGTGTTTGTGTATGTGTGTCTGTATGCGTGTGTGTGTATGTGTGCCTGTGTGTGCGTACGTGCCTGTCTGTGTGTGTGTGTGCGTGTTTCTTGTGTAAGCTAAAAGTCGCGAAAAATTATTGAAATATCTATTGCTCCAAAGGTTCAGGGGATTTCGTAGTCGAGCAGTCTCGACTAGAGCTTTCTTACTTGTTTTTTTTTAATTTTTGGTGACTCAAATGCTCGGCGGTGCCGTTAGGCAAGTTAATATTGTGCCCTGCATTATTGATGGTCCGCCTAAGGGCCAATGTAAACCAATATGAATGTGAGACATTCTCAGCCAAGGACCTCGTCGCAGTTTGAGTGAAGGTGAAAATAAAAAAGCTGCAAAGAAATATGCAAATCACTCAACACAAATTTCTGACATTCCAGACAATTTGAACCTCGCCTGAATTGCCACTCAAATGAATTTTACAGCAAAAAGACCAAAGTCATCATGCGAGTGCGAACCATTCATAACAGAATCACCTTTTCACCTTTCACCTTTGCGCTATAAAATCTGTTCAAAATATTTCACAACTTGCGGACTTGCAAGTGTTTTAGAAGCCAAGTATTTTTCACCTGGGAGTTTGACTTTAAATATGCATTTTTTTCAGCCCGTCAACAAATTTCTGTGTGGTACTTCACCTCATGAATTGTTGTTGAGAATTTTTTATTATGTCATTTCCGGGTCGATGCACAGCTTTAAGTGGGTCTGTTTACTTTTGAGATGTCTGGACATATGTTGAACTTTGAGTGGTACAAATATAATATTTAAGTATTTTGTTATCAACAGAAAACAAGACGCGGGAACATGAAAATTCATTAGTTTAATAGCTTTTGAAAATATAAAAACAGCTCTCAAGCTGAGACGTAGTTCAGTTCGTGAAAATGTGGACCATGCCAGATTGGATAAATTACTCTGGTGAGGCTGAATTGTTGATGGCTTTTGCTAACGAAATGTCTGATACTGTATTTATCATGGAATAGCACTTCATATATGGCTCATACTCTACTCTGTGTGCCCAATATCCACGAATACGCGAAGTAAGTGCCTCGAAGGAACTGTTAAGTCTCAAGCCGAAGACTGTTCCATATATTGGCAATGCCTAAATGGGGAAACTGTGCTACAAAGTTGTCCCACGCAAAGCTACTTTGATCCAGCGTGGGAGGTGTGCGTCATCGATGTGAGTGGAAGATGTGTGGCAGCAGTTGCGCAATGTGCGGAGGGTCAGATTGAAGTGATTCCTGGAAATAGTTGCGGTTTCTTTCGATGCGTAAATGGCAGCTTAGAGGAGGAAAAATGTCAATTGGGCAGCTACTTCAATGCAAGTTTGAAACTCTGCGAGATCGATGAGAATGGAATTTGTGATTCTAAACAGTGCAGCGAAGGTTCTTTACAAGCGGATCCTAAGGACTGTTCAGGATATCTCATGTGTGTCGATGGAAATCTAATAGAAAAGAAGTGTGCAAAAGTCAGTTTCTTCAATGCTGATTTGAAGATCTGCGAGATCGATGAGAATGGCATCTGCGACCCCAATAACGACAAGTGTACCGAAGGGTCTTTGGAAGCGGATCCTAAGGACTGTTCAGGCTATCTCATATGTGTCGATGGGAATCAATGCTGCCTTAAAGATATGTGAAATCGATGAGAATGGGGTCTGTATTCGTAGTCTTGAAAGATGTTCTGAGAATGAGCTTGTCGCGATCCCCGAAAATAGGTGTGGATATCTCAGGTGTACATACGGAAACCTAATACAGTTCGATTGCTCCAATGGAAGGTATTACAATGCAAGCTTAGAAGCCTGTGTAATTGATGAGAATGGACTCTGTGCTGGACTTAAGAAATGTGAAAATAGTGAGACAAGAATCGATCCCGACGACTGTGCTGGTTACTTGCAATGCATCGATGGCAAAATGGTTAAAGGCTCTGCTCATATGGCAGCTACTACCACACAGCTTTGCACAGCTGCGTAGTAGACGACGAAGGAGTTTGTGTCCCCTTATAGGATCATTGCTAGGTGAACGGGAAGCTGACCCTGAGGACTTTGATCCTATCTGGAGTGCATCGATGGCGACTTCATGCCACAGAGATGTGAAAGTGGGAGCTATTTCAATGCGGACATCAAATCCTGCAATGTGGACGTGCTAAATGGCCGCGCTGCCTAGATTGAACTATACCCTGTACCCTTAAACTATGAAAACTATTTAATAAATAATGAATTGACTAAGTCGATTATTTATATACGTACACACAGTTGTCCCTTGATAGCGCTAATAGAAACTTGTGGTATCATATGCTACTCAGCGTTAGGGGCAAAGTTTTAGCTGGCTTTGCACTTTGAACAGCTGCGACTTTTTTGGGTTAATGGTATAAAAGAATTAAAACATTTGTTCCTAATTGAATGGCTTTAATGAACTGTTAGCATATATAAATCTAACTTTTTTCTGGCTGACATTCTTTTATTTTCGGCGCATTAGCGAGGGCAGATTGATGTGTCTGAGTGCTAATTAGGAATAATAAGATTCGAGTTTCATTTTCATATAGCAGGAAAGAAGAAGATAGAGAGAAAGAGAGAAATACGTGACGAATAACATGTCCCTGGGTTACAGATTAAATCTCTTTACTCTTAATTAAGGTTATTCCCGCTGTGCTTGCAATAGGAGACATCAAAGTGTTTTCGATTACAGCGAGAGCTCCGTAATTAATGCCGGACACAATTTTTCGATTACACCAGGTAAGAGAGAGAGAGAGAGAGGGAAAGAGAGCAAAGTTTAGGTGAGACAGAGAAAGTATCTTAGATATTGAACTAAAAGCGGACGCAATATGAAATATATATTTTCTCTCAAGGGCTCGATATCCGACAGACCCTTTGAAGCCCACTCACAGCATGGAATAAGCTCTGGCTGTGGGCGTGGCATCCTAAGCGCACATCAAAGGGCATCAGCTGCAATTAAATTTGGTTTGATTTCATGCTCGCTTTATTGATGAATTTAGAAGACCTTGCCTCTGCCCATTCCTGGGTGGATTAGTCCTCTTACTTGTTAATTGTCGCATTGACGAATATTAAATTCAGGATATAAATGTTCGTCTTACGTCCGTTGTCTTTGTCTCCTTCGGGAGCAGGTGTCGGTGTCGCTACGATTCCCGGAGGGGTAGCGGCACTGGAGCTGTCGTTTGTCACCTCGCTGGGCGTAGTTGTTGTTGTCACCTCGCTGGGCGTAGTTATTGTTGTCTCCTCGCTGGGCGTAGCTGTTGTTGTCTCCTCGCTGGCCGTAGTTGTTGTTGTCTCCTCGCTGGGCGTAGTTGTTGTTGTCTTCTCGCTGGCCGTAGTTGTTGTTGTCCCCTCGCTGGCCGTAGTTGTTGTTCTTGTCCCCTCGCTGGCCGTAGTTGTTGTTGTCGTGGGCTGCTGTGTTGTGGTTGTGTCATCAATATTGACGTCTCCCAATCCATATGGCGATTGCCAGTTAACAGGCACATAGAAGTCGCCCACGGCAGTAAGTTCATTTTCGCTATCACCCATCTTAACGGTGCTGTAGGTGCTGCCGCAATCCTTGTTTTGGGCCTGCTCATAGGACGAGCACTTGATGGTTGGGAAGTTATTCAAGCGCAGTGATTCGACGTAGTACGTCACGGCGCGTGTATGGGCACAGGTGCCGGTTAAATCGATTCCACAGCCTGGCTGGTATCTACCGCCATTCGGATAGAATGCAGCGCGTCCGATGGGCTTGCTGAAGCCCACTGTGATACCACTCGTCTGAATGGTCTCCACGTAAAAGGCATCTTTGCTGGACAAACGCTTCTCTGGCTTCTCGTAGCTGTACAGGGGCGAGGCGGGGTCGAGGCCCACCACCTTTCGCACGATGCCAGTGGACACCTGCTTGGCGGTGAAGCCGGCCACATGAGCACCCAGGCTGAAGCCCACCACTTCGAGTGTTTCCAAAGACATGCCGTACTCGATGACTAAAAAGTCCACCAGGAGAGCAATTCTCGCACCCGCTCCTGGCGCCGCTGCCACGGAGGAGGCATACTCCAGCGAGCGACCACGTGACCAGTCCACAGCAATCATATTGTAGTCGCCGGACAGGAACCAGGCATCGCGCACGCCCTTGTTGACACCGTCCTGGTAATTGGAGTTCCAGCCGTGTATGGTAAATCTATCAATAAAACGGAACTATAAAAGCGAACTGAGTCACGGAGCTAAAACTTACCTAGTCGGATTGGTGGCATCAAAATTGGATGCATCAATGGATGCCTTGGTGGCCTGGATGAGCTGTCCCTCCGTCGGATTACGTTGCGTGTACAGGTAGAAGTCAACAGTGTTCAGTGACAAACGCTGAGCGATCTCGATAGTATTGAGGGTTTCATATGCCTCCACTAGACCTTCAGCCTCCTCCATGCTCATCCACTTGGAGTCAGCGCCCACCTGTGGTACGTACCAGCCATTCTCACCATGAATGCGCGTCGTTTGCTCCTCAAGGGGCAGCGCACTGACTAAAGTCGTGAATTGTGAGTTGAAGTTTAATCGCACGTGCAAAGTACTCACCAGCTAGCACGCAAACAGTTAGGAAAACAATCAAACTCATGTCTAACGTCTATTGACACATCACGCGTCTTTATATAGACTTTTTTGACCAATGCGGCCGGCTACTGTAAATTAAATATCAACCGAATAACAATGGATTGAAAAGCAGATTAGATTTCTAGTCATAATCATTCAGCAAATGTTCTATATGGCAAAAGCAATGTACAACATTCTGCATTTACACTGAAACATACATATATGCATGATTCTTTCCATTTATTGATTAATAAAGATAATAAAGAAAAAGCAATTCCTTACTGTGCAGACGCATATCTTTGAGTACAATTCTTACGTGAGTTAACACTCACTCAACTCAAAGCTTTTGGTTGAGTTGAATGTTTGAGTTGAGTGAAAGCTTTGATAATGACTACGTAAATTATAATAGTAGCAACTAGAGAATACCCTATATGTAAAGAAGTGTTATGGTTACTGATTGAATGTAATATCATTAAAGACAAACTGATCCAATCTTTGGTTAATGCCAAACCATCCCCACTTTTGTGCTCATTCCCCAAATGAAATGAGCACATTGGATTTCTGCATTCATTCATTCTGTCCGTCAGTCCATCCATCCCATTTTGATTATGAGCGCTATAGGCAACTAGGGATGGGAAATTTTCTGATAAGATTTTCCGATTTTCCGATGGTGAATCGGGGTTTCCAGGTATTTTGGAAACAATTTTATTTTAACCCGAGGTGAAGAAGATATTACGGATATATTTACGTCCATTAAGGTTGTGACGTATCGTTTAAGATATTATGTTCTATATTTATGCTTTGTGGTCATTATGTTCTATGGTTTTTATTGATGAGGATCTGACTTTTTACATAAGTTAGTCTAGTTGCCATATCCATAAGGATACTCGCTGCGGACGGGCACGTAGTATTCGCCGGCAACCATGTAGGCATTAGTGACGGCTCCCATTTTGACGGTGCTGTAGGTGCTGCCGCAGCTCTTGGAGACGGCCTCCTGGTAGTCACCGCACTTCATGGTAGGGAAGTTGTCTTGGGCGACGGACTCTGCGTAATAGATTACGGAGCGGCTGTGGGAGCAGGAACCGGTCAAATCGACACCGCATCCAGGCTGGGACTTGCCACCGTTGGGGTAGAAAGCGCCCTTGCCAATGGGCTTGAGGAAGCCGAGCATGCCGCCGTCGGTCTGAATGGACTCCACATAGTAAGCATCGTTGGAGTTGAGGCGTTTGTTGGGTGAGTCGTAGCTGTACAGGGGCAAGGCAGGGTCCAGACCAATGATGGTGTGCACCTGACCGTTCTTGATGTTCTTGCCAGCGAATCCGGACACATGAGCGCCCAGGCTGTGACCAATGATCATGGTGTTGTCCAGGGACAGACCGAAGTTGGTGCGCAAGAAGTTGATCAGGTCGGCAACCTTCTCACCGACACCGGGCACGGCCAAGACGGAGGAGGCGTAGTCAATGGAACGGGCACGGCCCCAGTCAACGGTAATCATGTTCATGTCGCCGTGGGTGAACCAGGCGTCGCGCACACCGTAGTTGACATATTCATCGGCGCTGGAGGACCAACCGTGGATGGTGAAACGGGTAGGGTTGTTGGGGTTGAAGTTCGAGGCGGAGATGCTAGCCTTGTTGGCCTTGATTTCCTGGCCCGAGTTCTGGTTGGACTTGGTGTACAGGTAGAAGGTGACGGGGTTCAGCAAGGAGCGCTCACGCTCAGCATGGGCTTCCAGATAGGCTTCGGCCTTATCCTTGTCCACCCACTCGAAGGTGCCATCGGCTTGGGGCACATACCAGCCGTTCTCACCATTAATCTTGTGCTCAACGGCGCTGGCTGTCGAATAGAAAGAATTCGGTTTAAGCTTGGTAATTAAAATAGAACAGATCAGAACAGAGCTTCAGAGTCTTACCCGCAACAACGCAGAATGCGAGAGCCAAAAACAGTTTCATCATGCTACGCAGAAGACAATTTCAACTGATGTTCGGACCTGCCCCAGGCTGTAGCTTTATATAGACGCATCTTATCAAATCACGCGTATGCTCTGCAGACCCACTTGAGATTTGGCCAATTGATAGTCAACCACACCAGAGCTTGCGCGGCTCCTATTATTAATAATATTTAATATTTAAAAACTTTAACGTCGACTGATCAGTGAATTTTGCTGTTATCAATGTTTATACCCTTGAGCAATTGGAAAGGGCAGTGTAGTTGTTAAAGAAAATGTAGTCTCAGAATGGAAGGTATCAAAAGCGGTACTGAATAAATTCACATATTTCATGTGAATCGATAACTGTCGATATCCAGGACTAAGTCAAATAAAAAACCCATTTAATGTGAGCCAAGAGATGATACCATCTTCTTGAAGAATGTTCTCTTGAAGCTCGAATTTATAAATTATTACAAGTATATATATTTTTATCTTATGACTATTTAAAGCTAATTATAGGGAATATCCTAGTCTCTCACTCACAATATCATATTTTTAGTGTGATTTTTGTTCTGATATTGAAAGAACTTTTCGATATTAAAAGTATAGTAATATTTTTCAATATTATTACAAGTATATATATTTTTATCTTATGACTATTTAAAGCTAATTACACGGTATATCCTAGTCTCTCACTCACAATATCATATTTTTAGTGTGATCTTTGTTCTGACACATGTATGGTGTAAATGTCACCTATAAAGCTCTACTTACCAACTACGCCCATGTGCACTGATAGGTAGCGAAAATATTTTATAGATAGCTGCATATTGTTAAGATTGATTTATTTGGCCAGCTCAACAATTGTGCTACAGGGGGCCATGTGCCTGAGACCTTAACCACATGGGCATTAGTAGCGGTGCTCTTGCAATGGCAAACTAAGCTCTCTCCACTGCAGCTACCTCAGTGTGCAAGCTCGCAGCAGTGCTGAGGACTTAAGCCCACAATTATGCACCCACAACGGCACACAATGCCGTTTACGGTAAATGTTTTGCGAAATGTGCTCATTTTGATTACCGAGCTGCATCTCGTCGAGCACAGAACATGTCTATGCCTACGCTCCTACACTTGTCCTCCTCCTACTAGAGCTTTGTGTGGCCTCTTGCCCATTGGCTAATCGTCAATCGTGCAGAGGACCATGCGAGCGGCTAATAGTCGCTCCACGCTGGACATCTTCTCGGATTTATCGGCTTGCTGTGCATGTCGGGTAATGTTTCATTTCGCATTAGTCCCAACGAGAAACAGGTTGCTTTTATCACAGATTTGCAATCAAAAATGTCATCGTGATGAATTTCAAATCAATTCGTTCACCTGCCAGCTCGAGCACCGTAAACAACTTGTCTTCCTTTGTATTTATAGAACTAGCAAACAGAAAAACAAAGCAATCTCCATTTTCGCCCTCCCCGCTCGTGACGCTCCCATTAATCTCTGACGTGTGCTTGTCCACTCGATTCGTACCGTACGGACCCCAAGTGTTCGCTTAGAGCATTGTATCTTGATGGAGATAGGGCAAGGAGTACCTACACTATCGTAAGGCAATTGTTTGTTTTTAGACTTTATTCAGATCGACAGATAGCGGAACTTATTCAATTTTGCCAAAAGGCTCTTTGCTGTTAACAGGCACATAGAAGTTACCGCCCAACATGTAGGCATTGTAATCGGCGCCCATGCGAATGCTACTGTAGGTGCTGGCGCACTCTTTTCTGACCGCTGCCTCGTAGTCACCACACTTGATGGAGCCAAAGTTATCCTGAGTGACGGCCTCAGCATAGTAGGTCACGGAGCGGCCGTGGGAGCAGGATCCAGTGGCGTCTACACCACAGCCGGGTTGCTCCTTGCCACCATTGGGGTAGAAGGCGCCCTTGCCAATGGGCTTGAGGAAGCCCAGCTTGCCGCCGTTGGTCTGAATGGACTCTACGTAGAAGGCATCCTCTGAGCTGAGGCGTTTGTTGGGCTTGTCGTAGCTGAACAGGGGCAGAGCAGGGTCTAGGCCAATAATTGTGTGAATGCGACCCTCGCCAACTGTCTTGCCGGCATATCCTGAAACATGGGCACCCAAGCTGTGGCCAATTACCGTCAGGCGCTCCAGAGACATGCCATGGTGCTCGTGCAGGTAGTTGATCATTTGACCCACTTTGGTGCCGGCGCCGGGTACAGCAACGACCGAGGAGGCGTAGTCAACGGAGCGAGCACGGGCCCAGTCAACAATAATAATGTTGTAATCACCTCGGGATAGCCAGGCCTTGGTAATTTCTTTGTTCATGTGGTCCGAGTGACGACCAGTCCAGCCGTGGATAACAAAGCGTGTGGCATGATCCTTGTTAAAATGCGAGTCGCGAATGGATGCTTCCTTGTCGCTAATGAGTTGGCCCTCGTGGGGGTTCGATCTGGTGTAAAGGTAGAAGGACACGGCATTTGTGTTTACACGTTCCTCCATCTGCTCCGCGTCAGCCAACAGATGCTCGGCCTCGTCCAGATCCATCCACTCGAAGGTACCATCGATTTGTGGTACATACCAACCATTCTCGCCATGAATTCGCTCCTGAATGGGCAGGGCGCTGACTGAAAAAGAGTGTTAGGGACCTATGAAATTTCATCTAACGGGAAAAAATTGTTTCTGACCTGTGACAAGGAGTGCTGCTAGTACGAGAAATACTTTCATTCCGGTAACTCAAGTAGATTTGCCATATCTTTAGAATTTCTATGTCTTTTATAGTCTAAAACGCGAATAATTGTCAACTTGCGATAAGCTGTTAAGCACCTGCCTATATTTAATCACTAAACTCGTATGTTTTTGATGAGAAATCCAATTTGCCATTTCCCTTTTAATAACTCTGACAATATAGTCATTTATCGATGATAACATGTTCTTTGGTTATATTCTATTTTATGAAGCGATAGCTTTAGCTATTATTTGATAGAATAGCAATTCTAGTCAATATATAGCGTACTCCATCGATCAAATTTAGATTGTTTGTAGAAATGTATTGCTTTCGGAAACCTATAAAAATCTTAACCTATATAAAAGCAATAATCAAACCATGATACAATTACCAGTTCAAAGACATCAACTACGATTTGCTTGTGAGGGCGACACGTTTATTGTGCTTATTATAATTAGTCACTTAATGGACGTTGCCGAAGGGAGCATTGCTGTTGACGGGAACATAGAAGTCACCCGATACCATGTAGGCATTGCTATCAGCACCCATGCGAACGCTGCTGTAGGTACTGCCGCACTTCTTATCGACGGCTGCCTCGTAGTCACCACACTTGATGGAGCCAAAGTTATCCTGAGTGACGGCCTCAGCATAGTAGGTCACGGAGCGGCCGTGGGAGCAGGAGCCGGTGACGTCTACACCGCAACCGGGTTGCTTCTTGCCACCGTTGGGGTAGAAGGCGCCTTTGCCAATGGGCTTGAGGAAGCCCAGCTTGCCGCCGTTGGTCTGAATGGACTCGACGTAGTAGGCATCGTCGTAGGAGAGACGCTTGTTGGGCTTGTTGTAACTGAACAAGGGCAGAGCAGGGTCTAGGCCAATAATGGTGTGAATGCGACCCTCGCCGACGGTCTTGCCGGCATATCCAGCAACATGGGCACCCAGGCTGTGACCAATCACGTAAAGGCTGTCTAGGGACAAATCGTGGTTTTCATTCAAAAACTTGATCAGGTTTCCAACCTTGGCACCAGCACCGGGAACCGCCACCACGGAGGAGGCGTAGTCCACGGAGCGAGCACGGGACCAGTCGACAATGATGACATTGTAGTCACCGCGGGACAGCCAGGCCTTGGTGATTTCTGTATTCATGGAGTCCTTGTAGCTCTGGGTCCAGCCGTGAATGACAATGCGTGTGGGATGATCCTTGTTGAAATGTGAGCTCTCAATGGATGAGCTCTTGGTCGTTATTTCTTCACCCTTGGTTGGATTCGAATGGGTGTACAGATAGAAGGAGACAGCATTGGTACTGATGCGACCCTCCATCGCCTCGCCCTTTGCCAACAGATCTTCAGCATCGTCCAAGTCAATCCATTCAAAGGAGCCATCCAACTGGGGTATGTACCAGCCGTTTTCGCCGTTAACGCGATCGTCAACGGGCACAGCACTCACTGCAACCGAAAAGAGCTAATCAGAAACTGTAAATACCTGCATATATAATAAATTAAACAACCTGTGGATAGGAGAGCTACTAGTCCAATTATACAAGCTGCTTTCATCTTGGAATCAGAAGTATGAATAATATGCCATTGACAGTTTCTGTTTATTTATAGTCAACTTGGTAGAGCGATCCATCCTTCTAAGTTGGTTTAAAAGCACTTGAAACTTGATTAAAATTGGCTAGATAAAGTTAAGTACGTTGATTAAAAAACACACTTCTGCAAGAGACTCTCTAACTGATAATGAATGATTACCAATTGAGGCATACATCGATGTCGGATGATTTATATATTGCGTGGGAAGCGCCAGATCCATGAGCAATTACTAAATTGATAGACGTATCGCTTGCCATATATTGTACGGCTTAGTATGGATTAGAAACTCAATGTGTATTTTCGAGTTATATGATTAGCGTCGTAAACCCAAAGATTAGCTACTTACACAAAAAATACTTCCTTAAGCAAAACGGAATTCGATTGGTTTCGATAATATTTTTTGATTGCGTCACATTATTATTCTTATTTAGTTGATATTGCCGTGGGGAGCATAGCTGTTCACCGGCACATAAAAGACACCCTCGACCTTGTCGGCATTGCTTTCATCCCCCATTCGAATGGTGCTGTAGGTGTTGCCACACATCTTATTGATGGCTACCATATAGCTATCGCACTTCATGGCTCCAAAGTTGTTCTTGGTGACAGCCTCAGCATAGTAAGTCACGGAGCGGCTGTGGGAGCAGATACCCTGAAAATCCGAGCCGCAGCCCGGCTGGCTTAAGCCACCATTGGGGTAGAAGGCGCCCTTGCCAATGGGCTCGAGGAAGCCCAGATTGCCGCCGTTGGTATGAATGGATTCCACGTAGTAGGCATCGTCGGAGGAGAGACGCTTGTTGGGCTTGTTGTAACTGAACAAGGGCCGAGCAGGGTCTAGGCCAATAATGGTACGAATAAGACCCTTGCCAACGGTTTTGCCGGCATATCCAGCAATGTGGGCACCCAGACTGTGACCAATCACGTAAAGGCTGTCCAAGGCCAAACCATGGCTTTGATTCAAAAACTTGATCATGTTTCCAACCTTGGCTCCAGCACCGGGAACAGCGTACGAGGAGGATAAGTAGCCGTTGAACCGAGCACGGGACCAGTCGACAATGATGACATTGTAGTTACCGCGGGACAGCCAGGCCTTGGTGATTTCTGTATTCATGGAGTCCTTGTAGCTCTGGGTCCAGCCGTGAATGACAATGCGTGTGGGATGATCCTTGTTAAAATGTGAGCTGGCAATGGATGAGTTCTTGGTCGTTATTTTTTGGCCCTTGGTGGGATTGGAGTGGGTGTACAGATAGAAGGAGACAGGATTGGGGAGGCGATCCTCCATCGCCTCGCCCTTTGCCCACAGATCTTCAGCATCGTCCAGGTCAATCCATTCAAAGGAGCCATCCTCCTGGGGTACGTACCAGCCGTTTTCGCCGTTAGCGCGATCGTCGACGGGCACAGCACTCACTGCAACCGAAAAGAGCTAATCAGAAACCATAAATACCTGCATATATAATAAATTAAACAACCTGTGGATAGGAGAGCTACTAGTCCAATTATACAAGCTGCTTTCATCTTGGGATCGGAAGTATGAATAATATGTCATAGGCAGTTTCTGCTTATTTATAGTCAAATTGGTTGACCTATCTTTGCCTGAATATTCATATTGTCAGAAGATTTATTTAATTTAAACTTAGTTGAAATCGTTTGCACGACTTAGATAACGTTTCTTTAATGTACGTTCATATAACAAATATACCTTTAAAAACTAATTTAAGGCCGTTAATGCCACTAGTGTGGACATTGGCACTGTCTGGGTGTCTAAACGTGGCGTTGTATCCACGACTTCTACGGCATTAACTACATTTGCTGTATTATCAGCAGCCTTTGGAGGTTTCGCGTCCCATTTTCCTATTTTATTTTATCATATAAATTATTATAACGAAAATTATTATTTGTTCTTTTTTTTTTTATGTAGTATTGTCAGGTAAATCTATTAAGTTCACAAAGTGTTTCTATTTTATTTTTTTTGTTTCATTGTTTTCACCCTTTATTTATTTTGCATATGTTATTAGTCTTTTTTTTTTTTTTTTTTTTTTTTTTTTAATAATTTTTTTTTTTTTTTATAATTTTATTTTTTTTTATTTTCAGAAGTAAAATATTACAATTTATAATATTTCTTAATATAAAAATTTTGTTATTATTATTTTTAGTTTTTTTTATAACTTAACTTGACTTAAAAACTAGAACTTAAATTAAACTTCTTTCTAGTATGTATGTAATATAATATTAATAATGTGTGGGTAAATGGAACCTGAACATCTTTTTATGAAGTTAGAATGCAGCTTCACTATTCTACTTGCTGCTAATTCTACCTTTGCTTTCAAATGTAACTCCGTGGAGTAATACCACGGTAGGGTATGAATTATTTTTAGTATTTTATTTTGTAAAATTTTAATTTCATTTATATGTACATTTGCAATATCAGCCCATACCGGAGCCCCATAAAATATTGTGGACTGAAATATTGACCTGAAAAAGTACATTTTATTTTCTAAGCTTAAGCGAGAATTTCTATTTATAAATGGATATAAGGTACGGATTTGTGTATACGATTTCTTAATGACATGTTGGACGTGGTCAGCAAAGTTTAATTTTGTATCTAAAATTATTTTATATTATTATCCCAATTTACGTCTAATTGGTTGAGGCTAATGCTATTGGTTGGAATATAAATATTTTCCCTCTTCCTTGTTTTGTCTGTATTTACTAGAATTTTCCAGCAAGGTTTCCAGACGACAGAATTGCGGTATCATCTGCAAAAATTATTAGAATTTATAATATTTCTTAATATACAATTTTTATATAAATATATTTTTGCTTATTATATTTCGGGCGCTCTTCCTGCCGTAGGTCCAGCTTCTCTGCACACGCTTCTTTCACTCATTGAGACCAGCTTGGTGCGCTGGGCGTGGCCACTTGATACTCGATTAAAATTGTGTGGGAAGCGCCAGATCCAAGAGCAATTACTAAATTGATAGACCTATCGCTTGCCATATAGTGTACGGCTTAGTATGGGTTAGAAATGCAATATGTATTTTCGAGTCATATGATTAGCGTCGTGAACCCAAAGATTAGCTAATTACACAAAAAATACTTCCTAAAAGGAATCAGTTGATTAGTTTATTTCTGTAAGACCGGTCCAGTCGTTTCAGGTAGGATTAATCTCGTTGGGCTATAGGCACTGAAGGTAAAATTCGACAGGAACTTTGGTCATTGAACGGTACGTTTTCAATTCTTTTCGTCGAAGCCAACGTTCTGCCGCATGTTTATCCATCCAAAATAAGCTGCCATCGATTTTGGGTATGTACCAGCCATTCTCTCCATTCACATTTTCAGAATCAGGAATATAGCTGACCGAAGCTGTGTGTGAATTGATAGCATTTGTTAAAGAGTTGGCGGAATTCCATGTACGTGGAACAGAAAGCTAAGAGCTTCATATTGTGGGTGAGGTATTTCGACTGATAAGAAGTTTCGGCTAGCTATGGTCTATGTCTGTGGCTTGAAGAAAAATCAAAATTTTGTTTGCTGAGTGTAAATGAGTAATGTAAGCAATGAATGGTTGACCCAGCAAAAGCCTATTAACTGTGACTGAATTTGTTTAGAGACTTCTGCCCCAGCCACCTGCTGCCCCCTTCTTTACTGCTCACTTTTGGTGTTTACCTCTCTGAGTTGTACTCGTATTATTGCTAATGATTTTTCCATGGCTGATTATCCTGTTTATGCTAATTGGGCTCTGCCTGAGCAGATGAATTAAATGACTTGCAAAAATAGTACACAAAATCCAATATTATAATAACATACACACATGTTGCATACCATTAGGAGGCACCTATGGTCCCCTTGAAAAATGAGGAGCAATGGGCATACAATTAGAAGTCATTTAGTGACTCACAAGTATAATTAATAGTTATCACTGATCATAAATCTTTATCAGTGGAGGTCTACATCAATGTCGTATGATTTATGCACTGCGTGGGAAACGACAAGTTCATATATTGTATGCTTCTAATGGAATTGTTTGAATTACGAAGTTGATAGCAACACCGGTTACCGTATAAGTATATATGTATATACCACACTATAGTATGGATTATAGCCTCAAGGTGTATCGTTCAGTTATATGATTAGCGTCGTTAACCCAACTAGATTACCTAGGAGAAGCCGGCCTTGCCAATGGGCTTGAGGAAGCCCAGTTTGCCACCGTGGGTGTGAATGGACTCGACGTAGTAGACGGCTGTTCTGGAGCCAGCCGTGGATAATAAATCTTTAGTAGTTAATGGATGAGAAATCACTTGATTAGCCAAACGAAGCTCTCAATTTGTTCATGTTGAATTGACCTTGTTGGGTTTTTGTCATCGAAATTGGATTTTTTAATAGACCACCCGCAAGGCTGTGATTTTGGTGCCTTTGGTGGGGCTTAGCTTGGTGAACAAGTAGAAGTCGACCGGAGCTTTTTGCAGTGTAAGACTCATTAACTTTTCTAAATTTTCAAGCAAATGCTCTGCAATAATTCTATCCAACCAAAAAAAGCTGCCATCGGGTCTAGGTATATACCAGCCATTCCCTCCATTCTTACGTTCAGAGTCAAAGCAGACCGCAGCTGTGTGGGAATCAAAATTAGTTGTGAAGAATATTAAGAAATTACATGTAAAACTCAAAGTTATCCGAAAGTCCACAGACCTTTTGTATGAAATCTGTTCATACTTAAGTGTGTCTCAGCTATTGGGCTCGAGAGCTCTTCCTTGCAATCTGGTATTTGCAGTCTGGCCGTTACTGTTAACCTGCAGTCAGTAGCCTCCTCAAGTGCTGACACCGCCCTTAAATGTTATCATCGAGAACTAACTTGAAATATATGCGTATATATTTGTCAGCTGATTGCCGACGTGGAGCTTTCAATAGGTTCTATGGACTGAGTTCCTTTGGGTTTTTTGGTACTTGGATAATAAATAGTATTTCACGAGCTTTACAATTGCCGCTAGGTTTTTCTCTTCCGTAAGGGGTTGAAGCATTGCCTCTGCTTTTTTCTCGTCTATCCACTGAAGGGTGCCATCGTCGTTAGGCATATACCAGCCGTTCTCCCCATTCACATTCTCGGACAAATTCTCCGCGTTTGTACTAGCTGAGGACTGTTTTAAATAGGTCATATGGGCTTTATGATTTGTATTACTCACGTTTGCCTATTGCAGCACATAAAGCTAAGAGCCAAATAAACTTCATCTTATTGGGATAGTAGTAGACGACTTTTAAGGAATTATGGCCAACAGTTATATTTATATAAACAGTTTGTCACACCCGTGATAATTATATTAGACATGGAAAGTACAAGGTATCTAATAATAATACGACGAAACCTCCATATATTTATTGTTAGTTATCCAGAAAATACTGTCTTAACCAAAACGAAATTTGATTATTTTCGAAAATATTATTTAATTGCGTCACACTACTATTTAGTTGGTATTGCCGTGGGGAGATTCGCTGTTCACCGGCACATAGAAGACACCCTCGACCTCGTCGGCATTGCCATCAGCGCTCATGCGAACGGTGCTGTACGTACTACCGCATTCCTTGTTAACGGCTGCCTCGTAGTCAGCACACATAATGGAGCCAAAGTTTTTGTGGGAGACAGCTTCAGCATAGTAGATCACAGAACGTCTGTGAGCGCAGATACCGATCAAATCAATACCGCAACCCGGCTGGGCTTTGCCACCATTGGGATAGAAGGCGGCCTTACCAATGGGCTGGAGGAAGCCCAGCGTGCCACCGCTGGTGTGAATGGACTCGACGTAATAGGCATCTTTGGAGGAGAGACGCTCTTCGGTCTTGTTGTAGGAGAACAGGGGTAGAGCGGTGTCCAGACCGATGACAGTGTGTACCTTGCCTTTGGTGTTCTTGCCAACATGGCCAGCCACATGGGCGCCCAGGCTGTGTCCGATGACGTGCAGAGTGTCGAGTTTCAATCCATGGTCGGACTCAATATAATTGATCATGTTGGCGACCTTCTTGCCCACGGTGGGGACAGCCTCAACGGGTTTAGGATAATAGAATGTTTGTGCAATAGCCCATTCTACGACGATCACGTTGTATTCGCCATTGCTCAGCCAAGCGTCACGAATCTTGTTGTTCATATCTGATAATCTGTCCTGGCGCCAGCCGTGGATAATAAATCTGTAGTTAATGGATGAGGAATCACTTGGTTAAACGATTCTCGCAAACGAAGCTCTGAATTTGTTCATGTTGTATTGACCTTGTTGGGTTATTGGCATTGAAATTGGATTCTTTAATGGAATTATTAGTCGCTGTGATCTTGGTCCCTTCGGTGGGGTTCGACTTGGTGAACAGGTAGAAGTCGACCGGAGCATTTTGTATTTCATCATTCCATAAGCTTCTTACCGCTTTAAGCACCATTTCTGCTACAGCCCTATCTATCCAATAAAAGCTACCATCGGATCTAGGTATGTACCAGCCATTCTCTCCATTGATATGTTCGGACTCAGGAATAAAGCAGACAGCAGCTGTGTGGGAATTAGTCGCTAAGCAGCTGAGGAAATTACACGTAATACTTAAAATTATACGAAAGTTCACACATCTTTTTCGAGTGATGAGGAGTTTTGGCAAGCAATAGGGCAGACCGAAAAAGATATCGCAATGAAAAAGATCATCTGATTGGCATTGATTCAATAATATGATCTTTTAATTGACCTTTAATACCGGAAAATAATTTAACCGGTCTCTGCTGGTTAATGTAAGCACACTCAACACTTTTAGATGATAAGCATAAGCTTATGAAATCTGATCATATATAAGTGTGCCTCAGCTATGAATAAAGATCTATCGGGCTCGCGAGTTCTTCGTTGTCAGTGTAAGTGGTATTTGCAGTCTGGGGTCGTGCCTCAGTAACACTACTGTTAATCTGCTGTAAGTAGTCTCCTCGAGTACTGACACCGCCCTTAAATGTTATAATCGAGAACTAATTGATTATTCAGCTGATTGCTGACGTGAAGCTTTCAATAGGTTCTATGGACTGAGTTTCTTCGGGTTTTTAGGTACTTGCACCTTGGATAATATCACCTTGGTATATCACGAGCTTAGCAAAGTCCGCTAGGTTTTTCTTTTCCGTAAGGAGCATATACCAGCTGCTCTCCACATACACATTTTCGGACAAATCCTCCGCGTATGTACTAGCTGATGACTGCTTGAAGTAGATCTCATGGATTTTCTGATTTGTATCACTCACATTTGCCTATTGCAGCACACAAAGCTAAGAGCCAAATAAACTTCATCT